ATGAGTTGAATAACTTGAATTCTGAGAACTAATTTTTTTTAATTTATGTCGATCAAATCATATATAATTCAATTTAGAAGTAACTATTCGCGTTAGAATTGAATTGATTTTTCGCGTTTTTTTATTAAAAAATGGACTCGTATAGAGTGTCGAGCAATGCTGAACTCAATTTACAATATACAATTTCCCAGGAGACTAATTGTTATTTAATGATATTTTTTATACCCAATGTTCCTCCTAAATTTCACTCACACTGTGAGTCAATTTACTTCTAAAAGATTGAGTTATTTATATGAGACTAAGAATTAATATCATCAGTAAAACTACCCCGAATATGAAGAATATCATCAGAGAATATGATGAATATCATCAGTAAACCTACCCCGAATATGAAGAATATCATCAGAGAATATGATGAATATCATCAGTAAACCTACCCCGAGGTCTTTAATTGCCTTGACTGCATTGCCAACTTCCGGTGGCAGATTTGCGTGGGTAGGCCCCAATGAAGGCAAATATGGAGACCAGGTTGTTTGTTTTGTCCGGGATAATAATATGCGTTAGATAAGATCATCCAGAGCACTCGACCAAGCGACCTGATATAGACAGTGCGTGGCACCCCGATGTATGATTACAGAAAAAAATATTCATTTAAATACAAGAAACCTTTTTTTCCTTCTGGATTGTTTTTCTGGATACCTATAAATGAACCTTCTGGATACTCAATGCTAATTTTAAATACTTACCTTGGATAGTCAATGTTATTTTATTGAAAATTTTTATAATTAATGTTCCTCATATATTTCACTCAAACTGTGAGTCAATTTACTTCGAAAAGATTGAGTTATTCATGCAATCAGTGCTGAAAATTTGAATGGCGTGTATGACTGAAAAGTTGGATTGTACTTAAGGAAGATATAAAATAACGATGGAAATTCTAAAAAATATAAACAAGTTGAACTGAGGTTATAACAAGGTATAATGCCAAATATTGCTGAGCCATGTCTATTTATACATGTACCGTGTAGGCCCACTTGAATTAGGTTTATAAAGAAAATCTATCAAAAGATTGTCTTGTAGAGTGCGTCACAAGAGCAAGGCTTCTTCATAAGACTTACTCTATTGTATGTTATTGGCTGACTCTATTGTATGCTATTTGTATCTCGAGCTTTATTGTGACCGGGTGGCGGTAAAGGTTCGTTCATTAATCAATATTAAATATGTGGTAACAAAATCATTCTTTATTACAGCAAACAAAATTAATGAAGTATAATATGATGGCTCAATATTACAATGATTCATGCAGCATGATGCATGAGTATCATGAATATCACTTCATTTTATCTACATGTACTCGAGAGGATCAAAACTTAAAAGAACTAAATTCATATCAAGAACTCCTATTATTAAATCTATACTCATTGGCCAGATCAACGGAGACGATCCACGGAATTACTCATCATAACAATAACGTCATACGAATTAAGCTGCTAGTCCAAGGCCTCCTGGCAAACAGTGGCGCCGTCTATTCAAAAAAGGAGGCTTCTTAATTTTTGTTCATAGTAATTTTCTCACGATATTTACAAGTATTTATCTATGACCATATCTGCTCTTCTATTCAAGGCTGACATCTTCAGTATTTTTTTCTTCCACTCTTCGCGTCTTGTTGAGTTTTCACCATTTACAGATTTATCTCTTTTCAGCTCCCCGTCTATTTCAGGATAGAAAATTTCTATTTGTTCCATTCGTCGCGTCGTGTTGAGGTTAGAACTTTCATCAGGTGCGAACTGCTCGGGCTCGTCAACTTCGTGCCTACGTCGTCCTATTTTCCGTTCGTGTTATCATCATCCATTGGCTGAACACGTCTTTGAGTAACGGAGGAAGTTTTGTCTCATGCGTACAGCGTATTTTAATTTTTTGACGCACAACGTGCAGAAGTAGTCGTACAACGTTACTTAGAAGTAGACCCCTTGCCTGATTATTGTTATGTGCTTCTATAACCTTCGTAAAGCGTCACCTGGCAGATATTTTACAGTATGTTAATAATTTTGTCTACTTTTGATTTTTTCTTGACTTCCGTGAGCTAAGAGCTTAACTAAGTCGCGTCTCTTAACTCGTTGTTTTTAAAATAAATGCGTAAATTCTTGGAGGTTCGGAAGCTACCCCGAATCATTTTTTACTCGCTTAAGTATTGAATAATATTCAACTGCATAGCAAAGATAATGATAGAGGTTTCTGCGTCTTTTAGGCCGTAGCCCTGTCGCCAATTCTTAACATTGCAGAACATTCACAGCTTGTTATGGTCTCGAACAAGCAACTCACTGTTCCAATTTTGCTTTGCTTAACCGCCCGGCCTCCTCAACCATTCTGACCAGAAACTGTCACACAGAGCTGGGATCGAACCTGCACCTCTCTGCTCCAATCTTGTTACTCTGAAAGTGGTACAGGAAAATGAATAAACACCGGATTGATACTGAGATGAAAGCAAAATCATTACAAAATATGAATATGTAGAATTTATAAAACACTAAGAGACTTTTAGTGAACATCTCCATCATTCTGCTAATTCTCACCGGTTTATCATAGTAAACGAATTACATACAATAATGAAGTGGTAGAAGAAATAAGCGCTGCAAGCAGCCAACTGGAGGCTGCACTAAAACATCAAGAATAGAAGAAATAGGCAAATGGCATGTTGCCGATTCCTGTACTTTTCGTAACTTGCTTCACAAGGGATCCGGCCTTTTGAACTCGATTTTTCTATAACTGACGATTGTTTCAGATAGCTGCTAGCTGCTGGACTTATTGCTTGGTCCGTAATTTGCTAGGCATTTTAAGACTGAACATATGCTCCTGCATAGCTTTATCTAATCTGTCCTTAAAGGCGTTCATACTCGGAGCGTCAACGATACTATCAGGGAGGCTGTTCCACATGTCGGTGACTCGAAGCGAGAAGAAATGTTGTCGCATGGATGTGTTACTACGCAGTTTTTTTAGTTTATAGCCGTGGCCCCTGGTGTTGGTTCTTGTTTCAAATTCTAGTAATCCTTCTGGGTCCTTGTATAAGCCATGAGTATACGTGTATGCTTCAATGAGTTCCCCACGCAGACGTCGATAACTGAGGCTTGGAAGCTTCATAATCTTTAATCTATACTTCAATGAGGTCACCACGCAGACATCGATAACAGAGGCTTGAAGCTTCATAATCTTTAGGCGTTCTTCATAAGACTTGCCTTTTACTCCCGGAATTATCCCTGTTGCACGTCTTTGAACATTCTCGAATAAATTTTTGTCCTTTTCTGGTTTTGGTGACCACACGGCGTTTCCAAACTCTGGGTTAGCACACGACAGCGACAAACAACTGCTTCATTGCTTCTGCATCCAGGTACTTGTAGGAGCGTCTGATCAGTCTAAGTCGTTTTTTGACTTTATTAGCTCGAGCTTCAATATGCTTAGAAAATTTCAACTCATTGTCGACATAAACTACTAAATTTTTTTCCATTGTCGACTTCGAAATCATTACTCTCTCGTTGCAACCATGTTTTCTCATGCAGTAATCTTGCTGTTCAATGTTCTTGCCGAGGTAAATTACTCTACACTTGTCAGCATTAAAACTCAGCTGCCACGTATCGGTCCAGGCAAATAACCTATCAGGATCACCTTGCAACTCTACTTTTTGCGACACATTCTTCATTGTATTATGAACTTTTGTGTCGTCAGCATACATCGAGCTCACGCTAGACACAGCTTCTGGCAGACCGTTTATAAACACATCGAATAAAACAGGCCCGAGAACGCTTCGTTGTGGCACACCGCTGCGCAATGAAGCCTAGTCTGATACGGTCCTATTAATTCTGACACGTTGTCGTCTTCCTACTAGAAAATCTCTGATCCATTTGAGTACATTCCTCTTGATCCCCAAAGACTTCATATTATGCCACAGCCGTTCATGTGAGACATAGTAAAATGCCTTGGCAAAATCGAGCTACACTGCATACACTGGCTCCCTTTCGTCCAGCAGGCAGGTCCATTCATTCAAA